AGCGGACAAGAGATCTCGAGATTACTGAAAGATACGAACACTTTTCTCTTCAAAGGACTATTTTCACCAAACGTTCACAGAGTTTCTGATGTCGTGACGGGCAGAAAGGAGAACACGTTCAACGACTAACGACATCAAATTCAACATAAGTAAAGGCCGCGTATAGGCCATTTACAAAAATCATACTGAATATCCTTAAAAGACGCGTTAGATGTTTGATTTGATGGTGCAGTTTGCAGAGAAAAGGCAAAGAGAAATGTGCTCTCTTTGTACGAGACACCAACACCTCACGACACAAAAACTCATCAACTAAGACCAGGACCCCCACTGACTCAGACTCTCACATTAACACATTCCGGCAGTCTTCATGATGCGACGTTCTCAGTGGATTTTAAAATCCTCTCATGCTGTGTGATGTCAACAGATTCCCAGAGCTGCTGGTTGTTGTTTTTATAATCTTCGTGTGAACGAATTTGCAGCAACTAAAATCAAAAGGACTTACAGAGAGTAACGGGACCTCTGCAGGTCAAGCACACTTAATGTTTGACGGATTATGTGTTGATGACGTGACGCAGAGCAGAAATACAGTATAGTTACATAAACAAACAGAAAAAGATCAAGTCTTTCAACATCGACAACAAAAGTTGAAGTTAAACACGAGATAGGTGATTAATTAGAGCGTTTTGGGTTTGATTTTTGTGTTGGATTTTAAGAGACGGAAGAAGAGAAAATATTAAGTGCAAGAGAAGAAGAGAAAGACTCCGGGCTGATCTTCAGCGACGAGCATCCACACGAGCAAAAACCCTGGAGCGGAGAGGAGGGAGGCCAGACCACAATGCCTCAGTGTAGCCCCCTCAGCGAGGCCTCAGAACAAGGCACAATGCCCACACTTGTCAGCAGGCCTTCTCCTGCACGTCCATAGGTCTCTCCCTCTTTCTCTTTCTCTTTTTTCAATAACCAGCACAACAACCTTTTCAGGGGCCCGGAGCAACGGTCTGCTCCTCCACCACCGGGGCCTGAAAGAGACCATTCTGTCGCTCAACGGTCGCCGTTTGAGATGCTTTTTTGTCCGTTTCTCATTCCAGCGCTACGAGCGACATGCTATGAGAGAATGGGGTCGATTATCACCATCTTGTTGCCTCGCGAGGCCTCGGGGCATTTTCTCCTGCTCCTAATGGCTCGAGGGTAGAGCTACTGGAGAAGAAACACAAGCGCAGGGGTCTGACAACATTGTTGTGCATCCAACACCACAAAGTGGAGAGTTCAGCAATTTTGCTGATAAATGGATGCAGCGAGTTTTTTTTTTTTTTTCCCATTCAGGAAGAAAGAAAATGAAAGAAAGTGCAGAATGAATGATTCACAACAGCGACGCCGATGAATGATTCATTGACGAGAGACGGGAACGCGTTGTTTAAAAATTCAAACGGGTCGAAACACTTCAGGAGAGAGCGTCCATTCTTAAAAACACAACTCCAGACAGGTCTTGTAGCGGGTGGAGCCGCTTCCTCAGACGGATGAAAGCCCAAACAATGAAACCGGAGATGCTCCTTCATTCATGGAGGAGATGCAGCGGCCATTAGCCAACTGGAGCAGCTCAAATCCAGCAGCCTCTCAGCTCTGTTGGCATCCGTCGCTTGTTGTTGGTTTGGTTTAGTGGCAAAGCTCACAAAAACAATTCTTAGTTTCAGGTGATTATACACCAATGAAAAAAGTTATGTTATATTCCATTTCTGCCAATAGGTCCCCTGAAATGCTACACACTGGCCCTTTAATCTGCCGATTATTAATCGTTTAGTCTATAAAATGTCAGAAAAAGCAGGAAATTTCTATTTCTATATTTTTGGAGTCAAAGCGATTTCAAAAGTTACTTTTCTCGACTAAATGATCCCATTTAAAAAAAATCTTTGTTAAAAAAGACCTTATTGACAGAAAGAATGACATCAATATAACTTTTCAACAGTAGCTCATGTTTTTGATGTCAAGAAACAAAGTCTGAGGTGACATTGAATGTTTTGTCTAAAGAGGAGCAGAAGGTGGAACTCGTCTGTCCACTAATGCAGAAAGTGTCAGATTCCCTTCTTATAAATGAGATTGTGATCTTCAGATGATTCACAGTGCAGCTCCATCATGATCCATTGTGTTGGAGACCTCGAGGACCCCCCCTTCAAAATAAAAGCGTTCTCATTTTTTCGTCCGGGCTCTCCCGTTGCTGTCCGTCCTTCAGCGTTGTCACGAGGATGAACGAGACACTCGAGCAACAGGATGCAGATTAAAGCCTCATCAGACAGACGGACACTCTGCTGGAGTGTCCTCGAGCAAGACGCCGCACCGCCCCTGCCAGCTCCACCGAGCCCAGGCCGACCTCTGACCTCCCTGTGGAGGGGCGTGAACGCGCCGATCAATGGAGCATCACATTACCACCTTCTAAATGGGGAGTGCTGTAATGTGTCATAATCTGAGTCATCAATCATCAGGAAGAGGAAGAGTGTGACGTCGACCCCCTGAGACGAAGGCTCTCTACTGGCTTTGGTCCAAAATCGGAGGTTTCTAAAGTTAATTTTCTATTTCTTTAGTTCTTTTCAGTTTGTTCTTCAATTGCTGTTTTTCAGTGTCATTGTCAGGGTTTTTTGTGTTTCTTTATCTCATTTTTTCTGTGTTATGTTGTACCGTGCATATTTCTCCTTCTGTATTCTTCATTCTTTTGTAAATCTTTAGATTTTTGTATTTTCAGGGTTTGTAGTATTGATAAGCATCCGTTTTATTTTCCATTGTTTTTCTTTTTGGTCCTATTTCTCTGTTTTCCATTTTCTACCGTCTGTTTTTACGTTGTCTGTAATAACAGAAACTTCTAATGAATCGTTGGCTGGTTAAAAGGCAAATGATGGAAACCACACCAGTGGTGGATGGAGGCGTTTGGGGTTCAGTGTCTTGCTGAAGGACACGTGGAGAAGAGGAGCTGCAGATTGAACCACAAACCCTCAGAATAAAGGACTCACTCTTGAACCACAGCCCTCCAAATAAATCATCATCAGCACAACTTATTAAACATTTTAGTTGGAGAAGTGCTTAAAGTGTTCCATATTTGACCCGTTTTACCTTCTTTTGTACACAAACAGAATTCTTAAAGTCTCAACAGTTTGTTCTCTCGTTTGTATTTGTTTACACTGTTGAGAGCCGAGTGATGGACAACTTCAGATAAAGAGCATTTTATAAATGCACTTTATTTGACTTGAAGAGAAACTGGTGCTAAAAAGACTCCCAACTGCAATGAAATACTAAAATAAGCCGACTTATCAAACTGCTCGGTGGGTCTGAGACCACATACAGTGAATTATCACAGAGCTCAGGACAGGGTTTACGGAGGTCTAGCAAACTGCATCCAGATGACGAACCACGATGGAGGATGGGGGGTCCCTTAATCACTAAACAGCTGTCTCTACAGGACTCCTATAAAGCTTCAAGATGGTCCCTAAAACCAACATTAACTGAGAGGGCTTTAAAAACAGAACCATAGGAAATCAATTTCCACCTACACCAAACAAACTGCAGCTTTTCTCCTCGCTGCAGAAAACCCATTAAAGTGGTCTGAAAGGCCGTGGATCAGGCCTGTGAATGCATGTCGCAAGAGGGGGGGGGGGGCAACAGCCAGAGACAAATCCTGGCAGAGAAGGTGGACGGAGACAAAATCCCACAAGAGTTGAGAGAGAAACCAAAAAACAAAACACTAAACTGAGCATCTGTCCTCCTGTCGCAGGTGATTATTCTGGGCGACAGGAGAAGTGCCGCCTCATCGTTACGGAGCGAAGCCGCTGTCACGTGCCAGAAAGTAAAACCTGGTGTTTGGCAGACGAGGAGCGGCCGGTGTTGCATCAGCCACGAGCAAACACTCTCCGTCCATCTCGCCTTCATTCAGTCGAGCATCTGCTGTTTGCTCTGAGGATTATTTACCGGTTTGAGGGACTGAGCAAACGTAATTAAAAATGGATTCATCTACTCTAGGTGTTGTTTCTAAGCGTAGGGAAGGAGCTGCTGGTTGACTTAGCAGGTAACAGTGTTTAACAGAGTAATTAACTGATTAAAGTCTGGAGTATTTAACATGACGGACATCTTGAAAACGACAGCACAACAGCTGTTATCCTCACGAGGTCCTGTTTACTCAACATGCATCAGGAAAAGAGAGATGAATGTGCAGAAGGAGGATTTCAAGAGAGGATTTGTTCTTAAAGGGGAACTCCACATTAAAAGGTGCATCAGGTTGTACAGGAGTTCCTATAAGTGTATTCATCCCTTTCATGAAGGGATGAATTCATGTTTATATCATCTTTTTTAAACGTTTTCCTTCATGTTTTATCTATTTAATCCTCTTTTTGTAATATGGACTTCACGTCCACAGCAACATGAACCGATTGATTGACTAGACAGCTATTAGTCAGAGTCGATCGTATCTCCCAACTGCAGCAGAAGAAGTATATTATGTTCAGTTCAGCTAATGATTCATTTAATCAATCTGTAAGTCTGTAAAATGTCAAAAACCGGTGCAAGAAAAAAAGCCCAAAACAAGACGACGTCGCCGTGAGCCATCTTTGTTTTTGGCTTCATCTTAAACTTTAAAATCTCTCTCTCTCACACTCACACTCACTCACACACACACACACACACGTCACCATTTAAACAACAACACTAAGCTTTGATATTTCGTTCCCTGAACCCCGATTTGTCCTCATTATTTCTTCATTTCCCAGAATGACTTCTGGATCCTCTGAGAAATGCTGCGAGAGTGTTTTTTGTATTCAGAGAGATGTTTTAAGTGACTTTATCGTCAAAGACATTAAGAGCTTTTCTCAGTTGAGGAAAAAGTGGTTGAATCTCTCGGTCAATTAAAGCCAAGATGTTCTTACAGGTTTTGATAAACCGGAACATATTTGGTGGTTTATTCTAAAGAAACCAGGTACAAACTCCGATCAAAAAAAAAAAAGCATAAAAACGTGCCGTCCACCAACCTCTTCCCCAGGCTGCTGAGCGGCGTGCTGAGGCTGAGAGGAGTTCGAGGAGGATTGCGGTTGCGTCCCGTCAGTCTGGCGGCGGACGGCTCCCTCTTCGGGGTCTCGTCCTTGTGGGCCGGGCTGGCGGGGGGCTTGATGTTGAGGTCCTTCAGGACGTCGTAGTTGATCTTGGTGGAGATCTTCTTCTGCTCCAGCATCTTCCCGATGGCCTCGTCCGCGGTGTTGGCTCGGATCGGAGGGTGCTTCCTCGAGGGTCCTCTGGCCTGTTGCGGGGG